CTGCTCCTCCACTGCAGCATATGGCGGGCCTCCAAATCGGAACATCACGGTGGCCTTCCGCTTCAGCTCCTTGTTTTCTGCCCTTAGCACGCTTATCTCTGCTCGCGCATCCTTATACATGCGTTGGAGCAGAGCCAGCTGGGAGTTTAATTGCTGCACCTCATTTGTCCTACTCTGCAGCCGGTGCGACAGGTTTGTGACCGCCGTCATGGACTCCACACATGCCTTCAAAGTATACTGATTAGCCTCCACATCCGTTTGCACTGCCATTTTTTGCTCCACCGACTGCATCGGAAAGTTCAACGGAGCAAACCCAGTGGTGTTTGGTTGAGGTTCACGGGACACCGCACCAATTATCTCTCTTGTGGACTCGTTGAGGTCGGGAAAGAGCGTAAGCAGAGGGCGGGACGAAGAGGCCGTTTTCTGGACAACAGAGTGTTACCGAATATCTCTCGCAACAGAGTGTTACAGACTCTCTCTCTCAGCACAACGAAGAGTTTTTCAGCGGATTTCACAGGTTTTTTGCCTCTGTCTCGGCCTCAAGCTCTGTCGTGGTTAAATAGCCGAGGCAGCCACGCGCATCGTCTTCTACAACGGTCTGACACGACCACACTGTGTCTGCTACAACGGTCCGACATGACCCCATAAACTGTCTTCTATATCGGTCTGACACCGCCATCCAGTGTCCTCTACACCGTTATGACACCACCATACAGTGTCCTCTACAACGTTATGACACCCCCATACAGTGTCCTCTACAACGATATGACACCACCATACAGTGTCTTCACCAACGGTCTGACACGACCATACAGTGTCTCCTATCCTCTTTTATTTCTATGTATTTTCTTGTTTTGTTACTCTTTCCAAACTCAAGTTGGTTAGTTCCTATCCTCCTTGAGTTTGCGGGGGGCTGTTAAAATTTACCATCACCTACCACACACTTACCATCACCTACCACACACTCACCTACTACACTCACCTACTCCTCACCTACTACACTCACCCTCTCCTATATAATGAGCCACTCACCATTTGTAATATACATCATCAAAACATCAATCAATAATATACATCAAATTTTACACAAAGGACAACCAGAGGCGGTGGGCCAGGGGCAACACTAAGAGAGAGAGGATGGCAGTAGAGAGAGAGCATCGAGCTTTTGTTTACCGGAGAGAGGGATGAACAATTGTGCTCCATTGATGCATGGAGAGGATCCCTTTTATGGGGAAGTTGGGCCGTTGAAGTCAACTTAAAGGGGACAGATAACCTGATATCCCCTTAGCCCTGTAATTGGTATCTCTTGTCTTGGGATCTCTCAACCTGGGGATCTCTTAACATGAGATCCCCTTACTAGGGATCTCCAGACATGGAAATCTCTGTCACCCTATGCTTTCCTTGGCTGACAAATGACATGCCATGGTATCAAGGGTATCAAAATGCCTCTTGGTCAACACCTCTCTTTCACCTTTCACAGGCTGGTCAAAAGGGGACCACTCCAACAGGGTGAGTCAAGCACGCTTGACAATCCATTGAATCTAGCCTCCAAGTCACAATCCTCCAATGATCTCGGGTGGAGATTCTAGGTCATACTCCCAACCAAGGTAACTTGTTCTGAGAGTTTAAATGTTAGGTGAATATATGATCACCAGGTGTGATCGTTTATATTTGTCAACAATCCTGGAGAAGTCATGGAGATAACAATGTTGGAGATCGCTTACTTGGGAAGATCTTGGTTGAGTTAAGTGAAGTAAGGCAATCTCTTCCATCTTTGGACATCAAGAAAGAGATGTGGGTGCATTTGGAGATATGTTATTAACCCAAGTGCAACCTCCAAAGCTGACACAACACCATATCACTAGGAGAGGTCGATGTGGAGATGACGTGGCCATCCACGTAGGGGAAGTGAATATCTATACCCACAGATATTATCACCCTACTGAAGTTACATTATTATCCTCCAAACCTCCAAAGCCATGTGATGTGGAACATGCACACATGGAGATTTGTCTTCAAGATTTATTATTTTATTCAGTTCTTTTTATTTATTTTAATTATGATTTAATTAGGTGTTTTATTTTAGTAAGGAGTTTTATTAATATTAGCTTTCTTATTCTATTAGGATTTAGTTTCCTATTTTGGTTAGGTTTTCTAGCCTATAAATATTAGGTATTTGCATTGTAATCATTAGCTTTCGAATTAATGAGATATTGAGTTTTTGGATGTGGCCTATTGTGCTAGGGCTGTGGCCCTCTTCTTCTTTCCCCTCTTTTCTTCTCTCTTCTCTTTTCTTAAGGCATTCTGCATCAATTAGTATCAGAGCCAACTTCAATCTATTGTTTTGTTCAACCAAGCTGTTGCCTTCTTAATTGAACCACATTGGTTCTAACCACCAACACCCTGTATCTACACATTGCTTCTTTGCCATCACTGCCTTCCATCTAAC